CTGCTGATTTTCAGGTTTATGAAAATAAACCATCATGTTTATGATCACGCCACAATCAGCGAAGCAGGGGAAAAACATCATTGCTAATTAAGAATATTTCACATTTTATTGCAAAGACCTGCTGTATATTTCCGCCCACTTGCCAGAATAGGCCTAACCCGACAAATCAGGGACTCCAGTAGGTCCTGAGAGGTGATGGGAGTTATCTGGAACGCAGCAGATCCTTTATGTTTCAAGGTGGCCCCTCCCAGTATTGGACGTAAAGATAAAACATGAAAAAGGTCTGGTGGCGTAAAAGAAAAAAAGATAAAAAACAACTTGTTATTTATCTACACCCTGAATAATGTGGTCAACATTATGAAGAGCTTTCTAACGTCAGCCTTATGTGCAAATCTGAAGATAGGCAAAACTCTCAAGCAGCTTAGGAAAACAACACGTCTTGTATCTATAGACTATTCTCAAAGAAAACAGATTTATGGCTGTATCAACAATGAGACAGTATAGAGGAGCTCAGGGAAGGGCAATGACCATTAAGGTATCAATATTCTGACATAAAAAATATCCAAACTAAATGAGCATTCATCCACCATGAGTAATATAACATGTGGGGAAGAAAAACAACACCCACACTGCCTATATTTCCAGTGTGTTTTGTCACAAGGATAAGTTGCCCTGGCAAGCAGACGGTCCAGTGGAAACACTACAACTTTCTGCTTGCTAAATGAAAAGCTTTGAGTCATGTCTGACTATTTTTAGGAACTCCACGAGAGCTTTATAAGGCCCCGCAGATCCTACTCTGTGCTCACATCGTGTGTGTTTTCTGCCAAGAAGACATCCGCACTCACTTCAGACAATTGCGAGAAGCAGTGTGAGTGCGCTCGTTTTCATCCAGGACTTAGACGATCCGCACATACAGGCGGCTCAAATTTTAAATAAACTTTAGTTTTACGCTCTGAAAAAGCAAAACAGAAAGCTGAGACTTTTCTCAGGTTTTTCAAATGTTCTGATAGACCTGCATATCTTTCTCCATGTCCTCCAGTTACATACCTTGGATACTACAGATTCACTTTGTTATTGAGAATGCAGGCGTGGCTGCGCTGTATGTCTATGTTTGCCCTGTGACAAATCAGTCCATTGCATGAAGAGTTCCAGATGTGCTGACCGTACAGGATTTATTGTGCAATCATAAATCTAATGCTACCAGGCGTCTCAACAAGCAAGATTGATTGACCTTCTGTATTTTAAATATCAAGTATACTGATAGGTTGAGCCTGATGTGTCCATCTATTCTGTGTAAACAGTCATCATTCCTGCAGCACATATTATTTTTATTATTTTTAGAAACAGCATTTTAATGTCAAAAGCAGTCTCTTAAAAATCTTAATCTACTTTCATAAGGTTAAAATGTATTTAGATTTTTGACAATGTGTGGATATTAGCTAAAAAATTTTTTTACTGCTGTACGTAGTAGTTACAAAATGAAATGCTTTAGTAAACTGACATTTGTCATCATAAATTTATTTTATCAGATAATTTTAACAGAAGGTGCGGTCATATTCAATAAATTAGAATATGGTTTGCAATGACGTTTTTCTTTCAGATTAAAAAACATATTGTATCATAATCATCATAATTAACAGACGTAAAGGCTTGAAAAGATTCATTTGGAAATGTGGAAAAGGGTTTTGTCAAGAATTTACTCCACCTATTGTGTTCAGGACTAAAACTGTTTTTTGTCATAATACATGATTTAAAAGGAAACAAATCAAGTCGTTGAAGAATCAACCAGGGGAAAGGAGGACTGCCTCTCCAGATACTGATAAAAAAGAAGCCTCCTACTTCATTGGAGTTAAATATAAATTCAGCAAGGGTATGTAATTATTAATATAATCTTAAGTCCTTAAAATGTTTAGTTACGGCCTTGCAGACAGCGGCACACGCCGGGGAGTCACTGAAACTTTCTCCAGGTGACGTTTCAACAATCCAAGTCAAAGTCCAATTACAAATGAATTAAATGTTTGCAGAAAGGGCAGGTTGTGACAAACACCTTCAGTAAGCCTGCCAAAATCACACAGTCACGATTGACTTGTGAGATCATAAGCATATTTCCTTAGTCCTAACAATAAACACAGGCAGTTTATGAATTGTTAAAATATGAGAAATGTTTGGTTCTTGCTTTTTAAGGGCTGATGTTTCACCAAAGGCTCTGTATAAGAAAATAAGATTAATATTGCAGCATAACAGGCTAGAAAGTGGAATCAAAAAAGAGTTTTCGCTTTAGCTAAACTGTTGTGTCCGGTGCGTTTTTGCTTAAAACGGGTTTGTTCTTCATCCAGTAAAGTGACTCAAAGAGGATAAAGTATTCAGAAATTCATAACTCAAGCAAGTAATGATACTTAATAATATTACTCAAGAAAAAGTTTGGTGCAGTAAAACAACTCTTAACAGTATTTAAGTTTTGAAATTGGTTCTCAAATAAAGGTGAGTGACCACCTCTGCAGACAACATGTGAATGCTGTGACAGCATAAAGGACTAAAGTATAGCTATGAAAAACACATCTGCACTTAAAATAAAGGGAGATTTTAATAACAGCGTTGAAAAAGCAGAATGACATTAAAACTCTGTCTGAAATGCTGAGTTTGAGACTCTGACTCCCTAAGCATTTATCAACAAATGACATCTTGAAACAGAAACTTCACAAAACAAGGTGATTTTCTCAAGATCTTAGATTTTATGAGGGAAATCGATGCCTGAAAAACACACTATCAAAGACACTCAAAATAACGTTGAGGGATGTCTGGTGAGATGAGGAGAGAAGGCATTTTCAAAGAGGTTAAATAAAGTGAAGGGTTTTTGTTTTTTTTTGGCAGATGAAACAATTAACAAATTTACTTAAAAATTGTGTGTTTTCTTGGAAGATATAATGTTATGGTAAATACTTTGTTGACTCTTGCAGGATGGTATTTTCCTCGTTCACATGGTTATATAATATTCTCTTTTTTGAGGATTGGTCCTGGCCTTTCCCTCTGCTCCAGTGACCAACCCCGCTGTGCATATCACTCGACTTAACGGCGTCGCCCATGACGTAAATTATACTGATTCTGTTTCGAGCACCTGATGGCTGTGACTCAATTGTAAATCAAGGATGTTTTGTTGCCACAACTCACAAAAAATAATTTGTGTTTGTATGATGCACGGTAGAAATCGGAACCTTTTTGCCCAAAATGAGAAAGGACTTCAAGCAATCGAATAATTTTATACGATTTATTTCTAATTGTTTTCTAAAAAAAAAAAAATAAAAAAAAGCAAAGTCACTAAGAGAAATTCCTTTATTTCAGAATTGATATTTGTTTCTGTTCAGGCTGATCTCACATACACATCCAGCTCATCAACCTCTGACTGAGTCTCGGGACACAGAACCTGCGCTTCAGCAGTTCTGTGCTGAGCAATTTTGAGTGATTAATTGTTGTAGAAAATGTTTAAGCAAATGAGTGAATTGTCACATTTTTTTTAGAAAATTGTCAGTTTTGCAAGTACTTCCCCTTTTACAGATGTGTTTTGATGGTGTTGTGTTTAGCAACCAGATCATCTCTGGGTCACAATCTGGTTGTGACACAAAACTGATTTCACCACAAAGTTCAAAATGAATTCAAGGTAAGTGTAGAAAGCTCCAAACTGTGTGATTGCTGTTTGTTGAGCAGACATGACAGGCTGGATTTTGCTGCCCCCTGGTGGTCTTTAGGCTACAGTATCAAATCCTTCTTTTGCTGGTGAAACATGAAAAATACCTTTATTTTAGCCCAGAGTGTCCAGAAGCAGGCCAGGCCACACTGTTCAGAACAGCACGCTTCACTGAGTGAATGAAATGTGTTGCCCGCTTTTCAATTAAAATTTCGGCCTGGTTATGCAGTCGTTCCATGACAACAGTACTTACGTACTTTTACTTCCTTCTCAGTAGCTTTTTTATGCATTTTGTTGCTGCACTCTATCTAGTAGGATTACATGTTCTCATGTGTGTTATCATTCAGTGCCTTGTCTGCTGTGACTTATATTGGTGATATGACTGATCTGATAAGTAAAACAATGAAAACGACATTTTGGGATAGCAAACACAAAACGTCACGGCCGAACAAACATGCAACCGATAAGTAACAAATAGGAAACAAATAGGAAAACATAAAACATAAAAACTATGAATAGCTCCTGAAACGTTGAGATTTTGTTACTTTGCAACAGCAGACATCAGTAGTGGCACCTAATTATTAGAGGGATGAAAAGTGAAACACATTTGAAAAATGTTTTATTTTCTTTCTTTCTTTTTAGCATATAAATACCTGAAAATTGCAGCATCTATTTTTATTCAGTCTGTGTGATTGAATTCTGTGTCAATACCTTGTAAAGACAACTTTCACTAGAATTACAGCTGAAAGTCTTTTGGGACATGTCTACCAGCTGTGCTCATTGAGAGACTGAAGGTTTTCTCTATTCTTCAGCTCAATCAAATCAGATTAGAAATGTCTGCAAACATCAAGGCCATTCCAGCCCACGAACGTGTTACTCTGATTTAAACCTTTCCACTATATCACTGCCTGCATATTTAGTGACTGACTTAGTCTTAAATCATTAGTAGCCTTTAGCATGCTGTTTATATACATATAAACAGCATGCTATACATTTATATATAATATATATATCTGATATATATCTGATTTGATTTATTCCTCCCTCTGAACAATGAATCTCTGCAGGTCCTCTGGCCTCTGAGCTTCTTGCTGGACAGTCTGCTGGCCAAGGTGGATTTCCAAGTCTTGGTAGGTTTGCAGTCGTGCCATTACATTTGGGGATAATGGATTGAAGTGTGCAATATTGATATTGTTGGATTTCATAACCCTAATCTATTCTTCCACCCAACATTCTTCCTGATCTTTCTGATAGCCTGTTTATTCCTCTCAATGCTCTTTATCCTATATTCTCTAAGAAAAAAAACTTCAAGGCTTTCACAAAACGTCTGGCTTCGTCTTGAAATTTAATTACACACAGGCAGACCTGAATAAGCAAAGAGAAAAAGGGAGTTGAATTCGAATGGCCTCTATACTTTTTGAATGAGCTTGAAACTTATGTGCCAAATTCCTTCTACTCAACAAGTTTGTTCTGCTTTCTTTTTGTTCTCATGCTTTGCAATAAAGCTTATTGTAGTTGGAATACGTCAAAACAGGGGAAAAATTAAAAGAACAAAAATGAACAAGGCCATGAAAGGCATAATCAGATTTTTACACTGGTTTGTCACTGCAAATAATATGAGAGCAAGCAAAAGTTTTAAGATTTGATCCAGGTATAAAAAAGGTAAACCTACCATTTTGTCAATGTTTTAATCATATTTAAAAATTATTTCTGATTGTAGTTATTCGATGGTTTAAATATGCATAAACTGAGCTATACTTTCACAAAGACACATTTCATGTTATACTCTAAAATTTGTTGTACTTTGATCAAAACAACTCGTTTTTATGCTGCATGGATGCAGAAAGTCATTGTCAATTATTCTGATGAAAATGTGTCTCCTGACCTCTAGTGGTGAGAAGAGTTACACACACGTTTCCATCTAAGTATGACATAATGCTTCACAGAATATCCAGTACTTTGTGTACATTTTTAATACAAGTTGCTCTTTTTCATATTTCTAACAACGAAACACCAAAATAATCTTCTTCATCCGAATCCGCTACAGGATGGTCGACCTCCGCTACTGACAACCAGTACAGGAACCTGAAACAGCCAACGACAAAGACACAACTAAAAATGCATGCTCACAGGAATGCCGATTGTTGCCAATGTCTTATATTGTCCAAATAATAGCTTTGTCTTCACCCCACGGAGACGGACAGCAGCAGCAGAGAAGTGGCTAAACAGGTGGTGAGAAGAAACAGGAGGCGGTGGTGGAGGAAGAAGTGAGGAGCAGCATCAGGCGCGGTGAGAAACTGCCCTCTTGGGAGCAGAGCCTGGTCAAATATCCCCTGCAGCGCTGTGTGGCCCACCACAGGCTGGGGGATCACTTAAAGACACAGAGACGCAGAAAGATATGCAAGGACATCGATGGGAGTATTAGTGTACGTTTTGATCTTTTTTCATTCTACACGCCTTGCAAAGAGCATTCACATGTTGTCACGACAATCACAACGGTCCAATCGACACAAAGTAGAAAATAAAAGTGAAAAAATCACAATCTTTTTTTTTTTGACAAATAAAAATCTGCAAAGTGGAGTGAAGTTTTTAGTTCGCCCTTGTTTCTGACGCCCTGCAACAAAAACTAGACCAATTTATTTGAAAAAAATCACAAATGAACACCGAACAAATCAACACTATAATTAGGTGGAGAATTATTAGACAGGACAACCATCGGCGCTGTGCAACACAAACATGGCCTCTGGGAAAGAGTGGCATGAAGAAGTTGTCAAACTTCATGTGTTAGACTGATCTAGTCAAAGTCCAGAACAAAATCCGATGCATTTTCAGCAACTCAAATCCCAGTAAAAACTTTGATATTTGTATTTATGTTGGAACAAAATGTGAAAAACCTCATAGTGTCTGTTTATTTTTGCAAGGCACTGTATGTATACAATACAAGTTCTGGATTTCCAATTTTAAAGTTGTAGATAAAATGAACATATTGGATGTAAGGAGTCAGGCTTTCCGATAATGTTTGAAAATGTTCCTACTGTTTATATCTGTAGACTTTCTGAAGGTGGATAAAACATTTTCTTTAAATCTCAATAAATTATTTCCACCTGAGTGTATTTTAGTGATTGCCAAAGTAATTTTAGCACAAATTTTAGCACATCCAAGATGATTCTGGTTCTGCGTCGTATCTGTTTTGATTCTTTCTCATTTCAGAAAGAGCCACTGTGCATCCCGTTCACCTGCTGTAGAGTTGTTCTTCTTTTGCCCTCCATTTGAACACTTTGCATTTACAATAAATAAACAGACAATTGCTGATAATATTAAGTCCAACTACTGATCAGAAAAACTTTGTTAGAAAAGGATTTCAAACTTCAGCAAAATGTTGTGTGTCATATTCTGCACTAATATCTCTTTATTATTTTACATGATCAAAACAGGGATGAACTCTACATCAATCTACATAACTTTCCTTTAAACAGTCACATGAGCCCCATTTAGCATAAAAACCTCGGTTTCTATGTTGTCACTGAACATCTGGCACTTCCTGTTACCTGTGACGTAGAAGTAAAGCCTGACGATGGATCGAATGCCTGAGAAAATCTCACACTGGTAGGTGCCCTGATGCTCAGTGGTGGTTGATGAAATGGAGTAAAGCCTGTCGGGTCCTGCAGTCACCCTTAAACTGCTCCGTCTCCTGCGTCTTGAACTGTGGAGGAAGATGCAGCTGTTTGTCTGAAGGAGTCGATTCAGATTGCAGGAAGATCCTCAGTTCAGAGTTTTGTAACATTTGTAGGTTGAGGTCAACAATCTGCTTCAGACAAAATTCAAGTAAACTGACCATCCAGTTCTGAAGCTAAGTCTGATTTAGCTGGAGATCCATGCAGAAAAACGACATGGGAGTGAAATTACTTCTATTATTAGTGATAGCTGATAATAGTTTTATTAAAGATCAGCTATGATGCTCAATAAAATATAATAATTTTGCAAAAGTTTTTTGTTTCATCTGTAATTATTATATTTTTTTTCACAGTTATGACCAGTTATATATTTTGGTTTGGCTTCAATTAGTTTTTATATCTCTTCTCGATTGTTTAAATACTCATATGTCTGCAATTGCATCTTGTGAACAATTTTGCAACTTTTTATAATAACTAAGCATGTTTTTGAAGTCATGCTTTGCATAAATTGTTCCCTTTTGACTGATTATTTTATCTACTGAAGTACTGCCTTACATAACTGCCAGATCTTTGCGAAAATGTGCAATTATTATATTGAGTCAGAAGAAATATGTTGTTAAAATTAAAGTATTACCTTAAACTTTACTTTCAATCTGCATGTGGTTTGAATCATTTTCTGCTTCACTGTGTTTACAAAACCTGTTCCCAGAAGTATCTGCTTATAATTTTACGTAACGATCGCATAGAAGATGTTGAGCTAATCCTTTGAGAGTCTGGATTACTGTGTTTTGAGCATACCTCCTCTGCAAACTTCCAGACCACCTCAATATCATTTGGTAGGTCAAATGGCACATCGCACCGCATTTGGATCCCTCTACCCTCCTTTACTTCAATATCTTCAACTGAAATAAACATACAGCCACCCACAAGCACACAGACAGAGACACACGCACATGGATAACATTCACAGAGGGCAGCGCTTGCAGTCTGAGCCTTCCTTAATGATAATACTTAAGCCTAGTCTCAGAGGAGTGCAGCAAAAGTGATGATATGCTAAACATTGGCTGAGCTGTACAGGGGTGATACGAACACCGCCGTGTGTGGGAGTCGGCTGTCACCCGCATAAAGAAGTCATCGACTTAAAGAGAACCTCGAGGGCTCTGTGCAAAAAGATATAATGTGCGGAAATAAAAACCTTTCCACTGTCTCATTTTCCAATCCTGACTTTTTAGCTAAGAGCATTTGAAGGATCAAACACGGAGCATTTCAGGGATCAGGATTTATGAAGGGGAAAATATAGTTATTTAAGGAACTGTCAAGTCTGGATTAGCACGTCTTCTTTAGCTGTGATGTAACAAAATCTGTCGGGCAGTGAATTACGTTCTCACCTGGACAGTCGAGTGGAAATAAGCAGGAGTCGTACTGGCAGGTTATGCAGTTGTACGCAGCATCTATATTCTGAAAACCTGGAAGCATTGAACTAGTGTTAAAGGATGCCATTTTAAAGCAAAATTAATAGGTTATCAGCAGGTAATATGTTAAACATGCAGGAGATAAATCACTCGACGTCTTTATTTTGGATAAATCCAGATTCCCTGAAGCTAATGTATGAGAGGTCAGGAAGAAAAGTGAACTTCCACCGTCTTAAAACACCTCAGATCTCAGAAACATCGGAGAGGTTTATGCAAATCACAAAAAAAGAGTTATGACCCTATAATCACTGCATTGTATGTTTATTTACACTAAATTAATTATAATTTACAAAGAAAATGGAAGAAGGAAGCCATGTGCCACCAGTGATCTTCATGCGTGGTATTCTAAGAATACAATATCTCAAATTATTTTTCAATCGAACTTAATCTTTAAATACTATTGTTGTTTAGGAAATTGCAGTTTCATTATTTTTTTACACTGCCCTATTTTTTTCTTTACCTAAAGAAAATCATTGATCAGACATCGCTTCCTATCACTCAAAGGTTCATCAGATAATATTGAAATCAACCCCTAAAACATCTTTACGAGTGGAGTTAGTTTCAGGGGATACATGTCTACTTTGGTCTCTCCCTGATTGACTTCATCCTACAGAACAAAATGAACATATCACTGCCACTTCAAAAATCCATTATGTGCAGCATTTTGGCTTAAATGTGAACGTGTGAGAAGGAAAAGACCTGACATATCCTACACTACTGGCCTATTTGCAGATAATTCACCGGTGTGTGGGTTTTGTCAAGAAGAATATCTGAACTGTTAAAAATAATGCAGCATGGGGAGACGAAATACCTGAGCTTGACACGTCATTGGCTGCAGTTTGCACAGCAGTCAATCTCGTACCTTGAGTGGATGTAAGGAGCACCAGGGATGTTAACTTCTGCGATAGTTTCAAGAGTTTCCACTCTGCGTATGAATGCGTAGAGTATTTGAATTATTGAAACAAGTTGTTGGTGGTTTTTACTATGGGGTTATTTGTTGTGATCCCTAACTTTTATGACAATTCGACTCAAAATAGTGTGCAATTATAAAGTGGGAGGAGAATGATTGATGATTTTCATTTTTTATGAAAAATATAAACCTGGAAAGTGAGCCATCCATTTGTATCTGCCACCATGCTGAGCTCAGGTTGTTAGTTTTTACATTTTGTCTGACCAAAGCACATTCTTCTGCACGTTTGCTTGTTGCACACTGCAGAGGGAAAATGTTTAGCCTTTTTGTTTAACAAGTCAACTGTCTTGCTCGTCTCTCAGAGTTGAATATTAATAGTTGAACTGTAAAGAAAGGTGAAACTTTGCATCTCTGCTGCTCCTCCAGTGACCAAGAGGCTCTTGGTTACATCACTTTGTAATGCCCTCCTGCTAGCCAAGCTGGATGACCATGTTTTGTTCACTGATGTGCAATTCTTTTTTCCATGTTCAATTGATGGAAGAGAAAGGGTGCAGTAGCTTGGTATATTTTTTTTAAAACCTAAAATTCTCAACAGCTTTATTGACCTGTCCGATCTGCTCCTTGTTCTTCTGGATGCGATCTGCACAAAATTACTTTTACTTTCTCTGCACTAGTTTGTGCTGGCTTGTAGTTGTCACATGACAAAATTGTAAGTATTTGAAAGTCATTTTGCATTTCATTTTAAGGATTTTGTATAAGCAGTTTGGCACTCACCACATGGAGGGATGCACTTATTATCTGTGGGGGGAAAAGATTTTCGTCATTACATGATTTGATTTATTGCACATGTGATTTGGCTTCCACAGTGTTTTAAAGGCTGAATCAACATAACTAGATTATCACAGAGAGATTAAAGAGATCAGAGGGAGTGGTGATGCCTTAGTTTAGATGAAAAGATGAAGGTAAGTGTAAGAGCGAATGTCTCACCTCTAGGCAGTTTGGAGGCAGCTTCAATGAAATTGTCTGCTGCTTTCCGCAACCTGCGTTCATACACAGTGTCTGGTAGACGGAGGAGAAGGAGGACAGGAGATATTTGTCTCAAAACATCTGGGTGAATCCCATGCTTCAGGGCATCATTTCAGAAACGTCTAATTTTCAGACCTCACTTAACAACTCACTGCTCTCTACTGGAGGAGGTAATTTAGTTACCCATATTCCGCTTTCCCTGAAAGTCTTTCACTATGGGAAAGATCTCTGCTTCCAGGATCTCCTTCAGCCTGCTTTCTAAACCTCCGGCTGGAGAGGGGAAACACATCACATCTTTGCTTTGCTGGAATTAAAAGACAAATCGACTGCTTGACCCCTACCCGCTCTTCCAGCCTTCACCACTGTCTCATTCAGGTTGAATATGCGATCCAGAGACCTGAAGCATTCGTCAACGCTGTTGACTTTAGTTGCACTCACGACGTAACCTACGCACAGCCGACCACTGACTTGCGGCTTGATAAAGCAGATATAGCAGCTCAGAGAGGGGCAAATCAGCAAACTAACACTTGTAAGCCATAAAACAGCCATGGTTATTTTTAGCAGGAGCTCCAAACTGAGCAAATGTTTTTGTTTTTCTTTAAATCCAGCTTCCATGGTGACAACATGTGAAGAAATTCAAATTCTTCAGGCTGCAAGAACAACTTGAGAGGCTTAAAACCATATTTTACATACGTCCAAATGTCTATGAGCTTGCGGGGTTTGCGTTTGGGTCTGAGAGCAGAAAGTATCTTCTGTATTTCCTCTATTCTATTGTCTCTATTCCCCATTTCCTGCTGCCTCAATGCACCAGTTTTACTGCAGAGCACAGAGATGGCGTGAGCCGAGGAGGGAGGTGGCGCAGATGAGGGGGAGAGGGGCAGATAAAAGGGGAGTTTAACGCCCAGGTATGTGTCAGGGCAAAGCAAGAAGGAATGTTGGCAAGACAATTCAAGTAAAATCAGAATTTTATTTCATTTTCAATAAACGAGACGGAAGGCGAGTCGGGAGCCAGTCAGAGGGGGAAATGCAGAACAAAAGAGGTGAAAATTGAATGTTTTTCCCGATAAAGTTCACACAGAGTCTTCAAGCGAAAAGAAACTGAAGTCATGAGACAAAGGAAGAGGAGGGGACGGAGGTGAGAGCGGACGCTTGAGCGACAGAAATAAACGAAGAGGGAGCAGGACTACAAATCAACTCAACTGCCTCATCGCATCCTGTATCCCCCACTCGCCTCCTCGTCTCCTCCGCTCCCCCATCCTTCTTCTCCCCGATCCCTCGCTCCTGGTGCATCTCCATGGCAACCAGACAGGGTGCCTAATACATGAACTTAATATATTTCCAGTGGCAGGGTGAGCTGGGTACTAATGCATTCATCTGTCTCAGCGCAGACAGGCCAATCAATATCAAGCAAGAGTGTTCTCCAGGACCGCCAAAGTCCGATTGTTAGTCAGATGGCTGAACACGGAAAATCCCAAATAAACCGGACTGTCTGTGCGTCTTTCTGGTCTGTAGGCTTGTGTGTCTTGCATGTAGCTCGTTGTCATCATTTTGAATTTTCTAAAAAAAAAAAAAAGAATATTTCTAATTTTCTAGTTGCAATTCATCAGTGGGAATGGATGGAAAAAACTCCATCTTTCAGAATCTCAATCAGAGCCAAAAACTGTAAAGTTCGTGTCTGGTTTTACTCCGGAGGTGGAAACGTTTTCTGTGTGTCTGAATTCAGAAGTCAGACTCTAAAATGATAAATAAAACTTGTAAAGAAAACATCCAAACTTGCTAAAAGCTTCTGATGGTCGAATGAAACCAGCATTGAAGTTTGAGCCACGATATCAAAAGGTGTATTTGAAGAAAAAAAAAACAACAAAGAACATTATCAAAAGAACACAATAGGTACAATGAAACTTAATGGAGGCAGAACCGTGATCTGGACTTACTTTTCTCCAGATGAAGCTAACATTTTTGAAAAAGTTAGATCCATTTCACTCGTGAAATTACCACAAGTTTATACCTAAAATTATAAAATGTCTTAACCTTAGCAAGCTTTAGTCTTTCAGCATTACAGACTCCAAATAGAGGTCAAAATAAACAGAAAATTTTATTTTTAGATGGACTTAGCTAAAGTTAACAACCAAATCTGACAGAAAAAGTAAGGGTTTATTAAAAAAAGTCTGTGGATCTGATAAAGTTGGGTAATTTTTTAAAGGGAGAGTGGAAAAACATTGTCAAGATGCAGCATGTTGATATTCTGAAATCTAAAATTACAACAAAAAGTCTTCAGCTTATAAGCTATCGCACTTCTGCAACCAAGTTCGATCAACTTTTTGTTTTATTTCCTTCTGCTTAGTGTGATGGTTTTAATGAAGAACATTTTTTTTACCTGTTGATCACACAGGAAAATCTCTATGTGGTAAATTTCAAAGTTTGTATTAGTTTCCCTTGACAAGATGGAATGTTGTGTGAATAACTCATAGGCACAAAGGGAATACCTTTAGTTGATGTTTTATTAAAACACAAAGAAAAAAAAGAATATTTCTCCTGCTTGAATAAAACTTCATCTCCAGAGTTGCCAAATACGTCGGGGTCACAACCCTCGGCTGTCTTCTTATTGGCCCCCAATCAGAGGCGATAACACAAAGGCAGCCAATAGGGTTGGCCCCCTAGAGGGCTGCAGGAGATACTTGTCCTCTTCTTGCGCCAACCAAATAGTCTTGATTGTACCAAGACAAGCGCTAAAACAGTCTGAGAAGTCTTGCAGCTTTGATGTAATATTGCACAAGCTGTGATGCTGCAATGTCTGACACTTCCTTTGGGCTGAAACAGACGACTCTTCATGGAGCAGAGGAAATGCGATTAAAGTGTCAGGTGTTTTGGAATTTCGCAAAACGTTGAAACTGAATGCAGCCCTGTTCCCGAGGACCTCACCTGTGACCTGCTTTGACCTCACAGGTTAAGGGTCTCAGGGACAGAGGGGCATACTGTAAAATGAAAACACACCGAGAGGTTTAGAAAGACGGCAGCTTATTGCGCAGAAAAGCCCGGCGGCGAAATCAAACGTGTTAATGGGAACCGCAGAGCTGCAGCGCCGAGACAAAGACATGACCTCATCTGACATTTGGATTCTGCTGCAGCACTGGCCCGGTCTCCTGCTCCGCTGCGGATCAGAAATGAGCCCAAATGGTTCAATTAAAGCACAATTGCAGCATAAACACTGGCATTAACTCTGCCACGCTAATCATTTGTTTTGCATTGCAGCAAAAGCAGATGTGAAGCCCAATTTTTCAAAGCAGGGGTCAAATAATCTCTGTAATGAATCAATTAAATCAATTGCAAAGGAATTAATTAAAGAAAACTATTAACTTTAAAGTGTTGGTAAATGTCACAGGCATTTGGAGCATGATTTATTGAGCGAACTCAACTGTCTATTTGGTTTTCTGAACTCAGGAACTTGATTAAAATGTTCGAAACATAATCAAATAAAGTAAAGGTTAAGACAACAACAAAAACCAATTTATTCATAATAACTACATGTTTAAATGATAAAAACTAATACAATTTTACACTTAAATTAGCCTTTACGTGTGTCGACAGTTATGCGACTTTGGAAACATGACAGCTGCATTTTTAATAAAAGAGTTTAAAGACATGGTCTACATGCATGCATCCTCAGATGCTTTGAATGATTTTTATTGTATCTTCACGGAGATGAATCTCTGAAACAGAGAACCATCAGTTCATAAAAAACCTCAGCTGCATAAAAAAGGCCCAGTCAAAGTTGGATATTCCCCTGTAAAAGCAGATAACAAAAAACGAGAATCACAGTGACTTCTTATGCCGTATGAAAATTATTGCGTCAGTTTCCATTGATGAAAGAAAGACAGTTCATGGCGTAGAAACATTAGAAGGTGATGCCACCCACTGGCAGACAGACAGAAGCACATGCTGAAGACAGCATATGTTCAAACGTGGGGAAAGAAAAGCCAGTGAAATCTGTGCTTTTTGTGGCAAATCTGTCATGCAACCAATCTTTTTTTTTTTTTTTATTTCTGCCTTTGTTTCTGCATTTTGCACAAACGCACGCAAAGAGAAGTTGAACCTAGCAGCACCATGTTCGGCATCAAATCAAGCTGCTGTACATGACAACTGTGCTTTATTAAACAGTTTTACCTCACAAGCGTGCAGGCCAAGATTTGGGAATGCAAAGATGGGACTTCGCATGCTGCCTTTGTTAACGTTGCACACGAGTAAAACGGCAGCTGCATGTCAGACCACCGTGGACAGAAGACATTTGTCACACAAACTGCATCGCTGATGCTTTTATGCTGCTTTTTAAAAATAGTGGTGATTCATTTCATCAAAGGAAACAGAAAGCACAAACATTTACATGCACAAGCTCAAAGTTTCTGCAACGACTGCATGCGTACCGTTTTGCACTCTGAACAGTGACAGCTGCCATTTTTACAGTATTAATTATGTTTCATTAACATCCATCAATTTGTGGTTGAGAAAGGTGCAAAGTAAGCTTATAGCAGACGTGACCCCGCCGCCAGCAGCATGGACGCGCCACAATTACTCACAAAGGCTGGATACTGCAAACAAACCCCACATGCATCCACTTACAAGCGTGACTATAATCATGCATTGTCAATAACATGACTTATTTAATTACTGTCAGTGGCTTTATATGCATGAGTTGTGAAATAAGTTGCAGATGAAATGAATGGATCTGCATTAACTTGCTGGGTGGGAATGTATAAAGAAAATAAAACAGGTATTCACCTCAGAGTCAGCCTCTTCTTTTCCTTTCTCTCCCAGCCAGAGTGATTCTGTTTCTCTTCTCAGCTCCCTCCCTCTCTCTCTCTCTCTCTCTCTCTCTCTCTCTCTGTCTCCCTCCCTTTCCCCCTGATGGTCTCTGCCGGGGCCAGACAGGGAGCCCAGCAGCAGGTAGGTTACAGACAATAGTATTGATTCCAGTGTTCTGCTTTCTACCTACCTGACAACATCTACGCAGCGCTTCACCCTTTGTCTCTGCAGGGCTGTTGTCACTGAACGCGCCTGGCTGCAAACCGGGGAAAAAATTTAAAAGAGAGAGAAAGAGGGTGGGGGTGACGGGGTGCAGGGGAGCCTGCTCAGTTGTGTGCTCGTGAAAACACACATGTGCCTTCCTTTCTTTCTCCCTCTTCCTCACTCTCTCTAGTCACCATCCTTCCAACTCCTCTCCCGTCTCTGCAGCAGCCCTCCACCCCCCCGCCTCCCCGAAGCCCCAGAAAGCACACACGGCGAGCCAGACACACTCCAGTCTTCGAGCTGTGTTTGTAAAAGTGCGAGCGATGGAAAGGGAGAGTGCATCGAGTCCATGTGTGTGCGCTTGCATGTGTGTGACTACGAAAGAGGGGAACAGTGTGTGTGTGTGTGGAGGAGAGGGGGGGAAGTGGGTGGAGGAGTAGTGGGGATGAGCGGAGAAGCTACAGCACAGAGTGAGAATGGAGGGGGAGGGTCAGACTCTCTAATAGGATGTGAATTGAGAGAAAATATGAAGCCCGGGAGTCTCATGAACCTGAGAGGCTGACATTACTGCCTCCTTTCCATGTGTACACCAATCACACCGTCATCAAATTGATTACGGGATTTATGGTGCAGCTCCAGCGCCGCGGCAAATTGCTGCTGGAGTGACATCAAACACATTAAATAAACCCATCACTGGAAGCTCTGCCAATTAGAAAATGTGTCTTAATCACACCGCTTGTCATCAGAGGGGAGACGAAATACAATAAATCCTGTTCAAGAAGGCCTGTGACTTTTTACCAAGCCCTGTGCGTGCAGCATCCCTTTGTGTTGCACTCACCCACAAAGAAATTGCAACACTTTTTCTTTCTTTCTTTTTTTTTTTTTGAATATTTAATGTTTCTAATACTCGCTGCTCAATCTGAGAACATGTCCAAAGGCGATTTGATTCCAATATTGGCGCGGACGGAGAGCTTGCCGTTGTGTTTGTTGGATAACAGAATCATACATCCCCAAGGGGGGATTCAGAAATGAAAGTAAATCTAATTTAGAGTCACTGACTGGCTGTCTGTTGGGCGAGCTGGAGCGTAAACACTACAGCTGATGGGTAAGCATCGTTAATGGCCCTGAAGTGTCCTGACCGTGTTGTATGACGGAACGCATTGCCGATGTTTTGCACGTTCAGAGCGAATTAGACGAAGCTGGTCAAGGCTTTGTCTCAAAACGGGAAAGGGCATGACCTCTGACTCGATGGAGCATTGATAGCACTCAAGCTAATGAAGGCAATTAAAAACTGAATGATTTTAATTTGTTCAGATAAATGTGCTTAATAATGTTACTCCTTTATATATGTATTTATCAAAGAAATATATAAAACTACGTGTAACTACTTAGAAACGTGATCCTTTCTTTATGGTTTTACTTGCAGAAACCATAATCTTTCATCTATTTTATTGATTTATGTGCAGTGGAAAATACAACACAATCGTGAAGTGGAAGGAAGAAGATTTATGTAAGTGTTTCCACCTAAAAAACT